TTCTCCCCCTCGTCGGCGCGCGGCTCTGCCGAGGCGGCTGCTGAATTGGATCACCTCAGGGCGAGCACTTTATTATCTGCAGTCAAAGCGTCACCACAAATACCCGTCTACACACACACGTGTCACTTCCCATTTGTCTCCTCCACGAGGTATTAGCGCGGTGCCGTGCACAGTGCACCGGCCACCGCAGCCACCGTGCCACTGCAGCCACCGCAGCCACCGTGCCACTGCAGCCACCGTGCCATCATGGCCACCACTGGCCACTGCAGCCACCATGCCGGCACAGCAAAGGCCAGTGGTGCAGGAAGGGGGCCATCATGCCCATGAGGATGCCCCAGTGCCACCCCAATGCCACCCTCATGACACCCAGATGCCACTCCAACACCACCACACTGCTGCCACAACACTGCCCCAATGCCACCTATATGTCACCCGACACTGCCCCAGCACAGCCCTGATGCCACTCCAAAGACACCCTGAGGCTACCCCAACACAACTGCCATGCCAGAGCCATCCCAGTGCCACTCATCTGAAGCCAACAGAGCCCTGAGGCCACCCCAATGCCATCCTGAGGCCAGTCCAACACAATGCCATGCCAATGCCATCCCAATGCTGCCCCAGTGCCACCCTTTGACACCCAACACAGTCCTGATGCCAATCCAATGACATCTCACCACAAAGTCACTGAGGGGACCCTGCAACCAGGAGAGGATCCCACCACCCCCAGCAGTCCTGCAGCTCCTCCCAGCTGCCCCCCAGCCCCTCTGCCCACTCAGCCACAGCCAATTAGTGTTGGAATTAATTTAAGACACAGGCTTTGCACCTGCTGAGGGGAGCAGGGTGGGTGCCCCCAACGCAGAGTGCCCCATCCTGGGGTCTGCCAATGCCCAGCAACCTGCTCTGTGGCTGATGGACCGGTCTGATCCTGGGAAGTCTGGACAAAAAGCAAAACCCCCTTGTGTGCCAGGGTGTTACCAGCCAAGCCCATCCAAAATCCAGGGCTCTGATCTGGCGAGAGATGGGCACTGAGCAGCCCCCCCCTCACCCTCCATCCCCACCATGCACGTGACCAATAGAAAAGTGTTTTTGCAGCGATTCCTGGCAGGGAAAGTGCAAGTCAACAGCACATTTTGGGCCCAGCAGTTAATTGAACTCCTTTTTATGGCACGTACATAAATACACAGAACCATCATTAACCGATCCCTTCCAGAAAGTGAAAATGAAAGAATTAATCTTACTTCACTCATGTGTAACCCCTCATGAAATTAAAATGATATTTTATGGGTGTGTACATGAGCAGAGCCTTGCTGCAGCCACTCTAATGAAAATGCCCTTGGAATGAGCAGAATTGGGTAACGAGGAGCCATTAAACAGGCCTTCATCCCATGTGTAATTAAACAAGTTTATCACTGATGAGAGTCCCTATGGGTGAGCGGGGAGAGGTGTAGGTGATCCCAGAGCTGGGTCTCCACTTGCTGAGACCTGACCATCACCTCTCATAAGGACCATCCCTTCTCATTAGTGTTTTAATACCAAGACAGACCTTGGGAGGGCTCATGCCATCCCCAGAGAGCCATTTATGACACTGTCCCAGCAGGGCCGAGGTGACAGGTCCCACAGGAGGATGTGCACAGTGAAAGAATCACGGAGTGGCATGGGTTGGAAGGGACCTTAAAGTTCATCCCATTCAACCCCCTACCATGGGAAGAGACATCTTCCACTAGACCAGGTTGCTCCAAGCTCTGTCCAACCTGGCCTTGGACATTTCCAGGGATGGGCCAGCCACAGCTTCTCTGGGCAACGTGTGCCAGGGCCTCAGCACCCTCAAAGGGAAGAATTTCTTCCCAGTATTCCATCTAATCCTGCCCTCTGTCGGTTTGAAGCCATTCCCCCTTGTCCTGTCCCTCCATGCTCTTTTAAAAAGTCCCTCTCCATCTTTCTTGTAGGCGATAGAGGATGCTCCTGAGATTAGCGTGAAGGGAGCTCTGTGAGCTTGCCCTGTCTCCCAGCTCCCTATGGATCCCAGCCCCTTAGGGGGATACACATCCTGCCCCCCTCCTCCAGCCAGCCTGGGGCTGTAACATTTAATTAAATACCAGCCACCGCTCCGTTACTGCCGAGAACAGGAGCAGCAAAGAGTTTGGCCAAGCTGAGAGGGGTATTATTTGATTTATAATTTAAATAAAGCTCAGGATTCCTGTAATGCACCCAGAATAAAATCAAAAGGGACCAGGCTGCTGCAGTTAATTGGACGTGATATTTTCCTGAGGATGATGCTTCTCCACAGGCTCCTGCTCCTCGGCTGGAGGCGGGAGGCACAGGCAGGGCTGTGAGGGCTCTGGCACCCTCCTGCATCCTCCTCCTTGAGGATGTAATGCCAGCATGCTGGGCTAGGGCCTGTGGAACAGCCCTGGGAATACTGGCTGGCAATGGTGAGCACGGCAGCAAAGTCACCTCCAGCTTTACCAGGATGGATTTTGTGGGATGCTCCAACCCCACTGGAATGCGGCGGCACCGGTGCGGGGGGCACGGAGATGGGGGGATGACAATTAGCAGGAGAGGCAAGGGGCAGAACTGGGGGGCAAAGGCACTGGGCTGGGAGCTCCCTGCACGGGCAGGAAAATTAGTCAGCTCACCTTTTACGTGAAATTAATACCAAAATTAATCAGCAGCGCGGGCAGGATAATAGGATTTCACAGTGGTGCCGGGCCAGACAGCCAATGTGCCGAGAGCCAGACTCATTTAATATCGACAGAAACAATGCCAGAGGACAGAAATAAGACCCATAAAGATAATTACTGAGATACTCAGGAGCAAATTAAGTAATCAGAGGCACTTCTAAATTGCGCCTGGTTTTAAGAGAACGCTCTCTGTGTCGATTACCTACACGGGCGTCCCGGAGGCTCGGCCCCGTGCCTGCTCTCCGGCCCCTCCGCACCGCGCTCACCGCAGGTGCCATAAATAAAGAAGGGAAAATTGTATTCCAAGCCAGATGCGTGGCCCTGGATGTCACCTGCAATTTAATCTGCGCTGGTGGGAGGCAGGGAGCAGCGAGACGGGCCGGATTGGCCCATAATGAGCGGAAACATACGGGCAGCTAAACTTTGATTAAGGTGACCTGGCTGGTGGCGGCCGGCGGCGAGCGCAGCATGGAGGGCTGGAGGGGAGCTCAGCCCTGCTGCCCACCCCAGGGGACACAGGGTGAGCACAGTCCTGCCTGAGGGATGGGTGAGACCAGTCAAAAACTCTGTGTCCTTGGTACCCTGAGCCTGCCAGGGTCCAGCGTGGGGCCAGACTGCTGCTATCTGCCCTCATCCCACCGGCGCAGCTCCAGAACCTCCAGAACTCTGGGGCTGGGACTCTCCCAGGACACACACAGCTGCATCCAAGAGCAGCTCTCCCCACAGTGTCTTGCCATGTGGTGACAGCACCTATGGGCTCCTGCTTCCTAAACCTCCGTACTTCAGCATCATAGTAGGGTGGGAAATGCTGGAAAGCACCAACTCCATGGCAGGAGAGTGCCCCTGGGCCTCACCCCATGAGTCGAGATGGTCTACAGCACTGAGCTGTATCCAGGGAATGCTGCAGGGACCAGTAGGTGTATCCTGACCTCAGCATCACACCAGCTCAACACCAACATATTCAGTGCTGAACACCTCCAGTCTCCAGCAAATCCTGCCAGGCTCATCCTGCCCACAGGTCTTGGACCGTGTGGGCATGGCTGAGCTAATTATCCCTTCGCAATGAGGTGCTCCAGGAGCTGGACACCTCATGCCAGCCCTGTGTCTCATGATGCTCAGGCATGATGGACTGGGAATAATTTTACAAGAGCAACACACATTTTCCTTCCAGGCACTAAAAAGGAGGAGACCTGGGCAGCACCAGGTGCTCTGATGCAGTGCAAGCTGCTTCCTCGCCTGTGACATGTGGGTGCCCATCACCCCACCTCTGGACTGGGTGTCCTGTTCCCTGTGCTGGATACTGGGGAGCTTCACACAAAAAATCAAGGAATCCAGAACAGTTTGGGTTGGAAGGGACCTTAAAGACCACTCAGTTCCACTTCCCTGCCATGGGCAGGGACACCTTTCACTAGACCAGGTTGCTCCCAGCCCTATCCAACCTGGCCTTGAACACTTCCAGGGGTAACTTTCAGGGATAAAATAACTTCCAGGGACAAAATAACTTCCAGGAATAAATAACCCTCCTGGCTGGCAGTGTGATCCATGCCCCACCAGAGTGATGCCAGGGGTCCCCACGGGGGCAAAGCATCGCCCAAACCCCGTGCCAGGTTCACTCAGCTGCGTCGGGGTGCCCAGGTAGAGGGGAAAAAAAAGTCTCCAGGAAAATCCAGCTCATTAAACAAACGCCCGGGGGCTGTCACAGCCTAACAAGCAGAGCTTTAGCAGCTGATTTGTCTTCAGCCGGCAATGTTTAAAAATCCAACTGAGACCAGCAGAAAAATATCCACTCCCCTCTTTAAAACACACATTCATCACTTGAGAATCTTAATGCGTCTTTCCCAGCCGGGGAGGTCAAACACGCCTGCCTAAAGCAGGCTCATTAAATATACATTTAATCACGGTTTGGATTGAGAGACAAAGGCTGGGAGAGACAGGTGCTTTGCCGGAGTGACCTTTTGGATCCCATTTTAATGTAACTAGTTTACAGCTTATCTGAAAGGCCAGCTCCTGGGGAAGGCGAGCTGCGGCAAAACGGGGAAAGTAATTAGGGGGGGGAAGGGCTGGGGAGGTTTAGGGGGCTGTGGGCTGGCGATGGCACCATCCACTGCCGCTGCCGCCACGCTTCCCAGGCAGCTCTGCAACATTTGCTGAAGTTGGACTTATCAACCACAGCAACCCAATTTAATTTGCTTATCTTGGCTCCTTCCTCCCCCCCTCCTTCCCGCTTCTCCTGCTCTTTTTAATTATCGGTTAAATAAATGTCTTTTTCAATAAGGGAAACAGCATCAAAGCGGGCGCCCACCCCCCCCAGGCACTTACACTTGCGCGGCTCCAGCGCCTTGTTGGGGCAGGGGAGGTGTTGGGCTGGGGGGTTCTGGGTCCTCTGCAGGCAGGCCAGCATGGTCTGGGTTTCCTGGCGGGCGCTGCCGCCCCGCACCCTGTGAGAGAGGAGAGACATGGGTGAGGGAGGGGACCTGCCCACCCTGCTGCCACCACTCTGTGCCCACCCAGCAGAGCCAGCAGCAGGATCTCCACAGCACTCAAGTGCCCTTTGCTCCTCTGGAGATCAATAACTAACTCGGAGAGCCTGAAAGAAATAGGAATGTATATAAAAGAAATATGAAGGTCTCAGTGGGTGATCTGTGCTGCCTGTAGAGCTTTCTGCTCTTCCCACTGGGAAGGGGGCAGAGCTGGGGCATCCCCACGGCACCATGCTCCAGCAGTGCCAGACTGCTCTGCCGGCGTGCCAGCCAGCACCTCCCAGCACAGAGTGACCCCGGCCAAGGCTGGGGAAAGACAGTGTTAACATCCCACTCGGGGTCCTGGGATCTGTCGCCAGCTCCCAGCTGGCATCAAAATCTGCTCAACAAAAGCTGGAGGGGTCAGGCCAAAGTCACCGCCGCCACCGCGCTGCTCACTGTACGTCCTTCACCAGCCGCCGCGAGGCTGTGAGTTATAACCAGTTGCTGCTGACACCCTCCCACTACTCCGGCTGGCGCGGGGAGAGATATTCCCACTTGGAGAGGGCAGGGAGATGTGGGCGGGAGCAGCAGGAAAACAGGCAGTGGTGCCCATCCACGGTGTCACAGCTCTTGAGCCACCGCTCTCCAGCTGAACGCTTACGGATGGCCAGGGGTCACAACTGGATGTCACGGATGGGTGTCACTGCTGAGTACATCACTTCATCTTCTCTGTTGTGGGGGAATCGTGACCTCCTGCAGCCATCCAGGATGTTTCCCACATGTCCCAGTGTTGGCGAGAGGTGCTGGCACTGCCGTGCAGGGGAGCAATGTGGTGGCCTCAGGCATGTGGTGGCCTCGGGCAGGCGCTGGCAGAGCCCGTGACCATCACCTCCAAGAAGCCAAGCAGGAACGGATGATCCAAGAGCCATGCCCGGGGCTCTCTGTGCTCCACTGGTTTAAATGTCACCCTCTGGAAGCCCTTCACAGCCATCACGGGCGCAGACGGTACCTGCGCGTGCGCCTCTTGCTCCCTCCACAGGCAGGGGCTCCCAGGCTCTGGGATTGTCCCTGGAACGGGATCCATGCAGGGCGTCTGTCCCTTGGCTGGGCTCTGCTCATGAAGCTGCGGTCTCACCCCATCCCTCCCCAGCAAACTGGTGGCATGGAGACTCATCGGCAAAAGGTGTGAGGAGGAGGAGGGGAGGAGGAAGTAATCTAATACCGAGCAGGTGTCTGGAGAACCCAAATTGTGCTGTTTTCTTCTAATAATGAAGTATTCATGAGTAAAAGCCTTTTTCACTACTTTCTTAAGATACTAATTTCACAACAAGCGCCTTGTTACCATGCAATTATTCCAATCGTGCATTTCTCCCAGATTCCATCTGTCCTCGTGCTCTCTAAATGAAAGACAATCATGTAACCACCTTTCATTATTCACTATTTTACTTTCAGCAAAGGTACCCTGAAAGAAATGATTTCCTCTGAAAGGGACTTTTATTCAGTTTCAAAACCAATTTTCTCCTATTACTGTCTTAAAAAAAAAAAGGAGGGGGGCAGGGAGGTGTTTTTATTTCATGCATTACATATCCTTTGTTAACGCAGCTCGCAGTAAAAGCAGCCGTATCCATTTTCTGGCTTCGATTTCTGGTAATTTTAAAATATGCCATTACAATCAGGCAGAAATTATACAGTTTGAAAAGAGAATGAAGTGCTTCTTATTCAGAGCCTGAGCACACTTGACTGCCAGGAGCTCGCCTCTCCCCGCCGGGACTCGGGGTTCATTACGCAGCCCCGCTCCTGGTGCCTCAGCTCCCCCGGCACGCGCCCACCGCCTGGATTTTCTGTGCCGGGAGCTGCCTGACCCCGTCCCTGTCCCCATCCCTGTCCCTGCAGGGTGGACCCAGGTCAGGGCACCCAGGGCCGTGCGGGGGATGGATGATGGCACTGGCTCCTGCCGTACCTGAGCCCCAGCTCTGCGGTGACCTCAGGGCTGGCGTCCCGCCGGGTGTCACCATCTGGCCGATTAGCAATGGACGTCACCTCCTCCCTGCGGAGAGGCAGCTCCTCACGGGGACATTGACCCGTGTCCCTGGCAGACACAGGCGCTGTGGGCGGCTCGTGCCATTGCTGGATGAGGATCAGGTCCCTGATGGTCCCTGGGGCAAACAGCTGAGAGCAAGGAGAAAGCACCCAGGGGATCACTGAATCCATGTGCCAGCACAGGAAAGGCAAGGGGAAAGCACCCAGGGGGTCACCAAAACCATGTGCTGGCACAGGGACGGCACAGGCGCAGCCCTGGTCCGGGGAGATGCTGGTGACCTGTCACAGCAGCTGAGGGCACCCTTGACTCTGGGGCCCAGCAATGCAGGTCCCTGGGGACACCCCCACGCTGGCACAAATTGTCACCACCACTGCCATACACAGCCCAGCACCCTCCTGGAGCCATCCCAGCCCTGCCCATGGAGCATCACTGAGATGCAGGAGCCACCTGCCAAACTGAATAAAGCCACCGATTAATTCAGACCCCACCTCTGCCCCCATCTCCCGGCGCCTCGCAGGGGAGATGATTTTTCCGACAGCTATGTTGCACTTCACGGGCACACTCAGAACCATGAGGGCTCTGGTGCCACAACACCATCCATCTGTCCACCCTGGCACCCTGCTGGGTGCCCCAAGCTCCCAGAGTGCCCGTGGGTGGGAGGGTGGGCGCCCGGCACAATGGGCATCTGTGCCACGGTGGCATTTCGTTAATGCCGCTCAGAAAAGCCCCTGAATCAGCTGATGGGAATTGGGCGCTGGGCTGTCCAACGCTTAGCGCCGGCTTAGTTAGCTCCATCTGCATTTGAACTAATTCCAATCAGCAGGATCCGATTTAGTTCAAGCTGCTCTGGCTTTTTCGTGGCAGGAAAGGCAACACTCAGCAGTTTTGCCGGAACGCCCCGAATCCGCATGGCCTCTGCCCAGGCTGTGGATCCACCATCATCCAGCCAGCACCGCTGTACATGGCAAGACATTCCCACCAGAAGCAAAGTCCCTTGTGGACACCTGGAGCAGGGTCCCTCAGGAGCCTCAACCCCACATCCCACAACCCTGTCACCATCTAGAATCTCAGAATGGCTTGTGTTGGGAGGAGCCTTAAAGTTCATCCCATTCCACCATGGGCAGGGACACCTTCCACTCGACCAGGTTGCTCCAAGCCCTGTCCAACCTGGCCTTGAACACTTCCAGGGATGGGGCAGCCACAAGTCCATTCTTCCCCTCTCCCACCACTCCTTCCCACCCCATACCCGGCTAATCCATCTCAACATCACACTATTTATAAGCCCAAGGTCTTCGTGACTTTAATAAAAAACACCACCCTCTATGTCTAAAGCCCCAGTGACGGGAGGGTTTGGCACCTCCTCTGACATCAGTGGCTGATAAGTCGGGCTTATCTCCTCCGAGAGCCCTGCGAAGGTCCCTCCGGCGAGATAAGGCCAGCGCAGCTGTCGATAGAGGCTTTCGCAGGCGAGGATTTAGATAAAAGAAAATGTGACGGGAGGGGGAGAAAAGAAAAAGGAACTTTTGAAGTCTCAGCCTGAAGTGGGTCTGTGCAGTTGCTGGGCAATGGAGGGCAGCAGACAGGGCAGGGATGGTGAGGGGACAAGGTCTTGGTCACCATCCAGGCTCTGCTGCAACATGCCCGCATCCTTCCCCGGGCACCATTGAAGTGTAATCCCATTAAAAGGGAGTTTTTGGGGTTAGGAGAGGAAGGAGGGGATGAACAGGGACGCTGCAAAGCTGTTTGAGTCATGCCACTGCCATGTCCCCCCTGGCTATTAAAAGTCAGTGCTGGGTTCGGCGCAAGAACAGGAGGTGATGGGGTCACCCTGGCTGGGAGAGGCACAGGAGGCTCCTGACAGCACCCAACAGACAGACAGACAGCACAGGAGCCAGGCCAAGGCTGGCAGCAACCGGGAAAACGAAGAAAAGCCCTCACCGGTCCCTGGTGTGCCAAGTAAAACAAACACCCACCATGGTGCCAGGGCTACTCACCATGACCAGGGACAGCCCTGCCCCTTGTCCCTCCATGGATGGAGGAGAATCCCATTGCCCCTCCAGGGTCTACCCTTCCCTGTAACCCTAGGGACATTGGTGCCACCTCTGCAGCAGCACCGGGACATTGGCGCTACCCCCACAGGAGCCCTGGCACAGCCACTGCCACCATCCCTGGTCCCCACAGACACTGGTTTCCCAGCCAATGTCACCCTGCAAGGGTGAGGAGGTGCCAGAGGAGGAATGCTTCCCCTCTGCACGCAGTGGGTGCCCATCCCATCGCAGGGTGAGCAGGATTTTGGCTGGTGCTGCCTACTGGCACCATGGTGGTACCAGCAGGTGCCGTGCCAGCTCATGCCAATATCCCATCCAGATTTAGGGTGGAGGGGATGCAGCGCTCAGCTAGTGATGCCACAGCTCAGCCCTACAATGGGTGAGCACAGAAAGGTCACTCCACCATAAACCATGGCGAGCACCAGATAAAATTAAGCCCAAAGTTTGCCACTGAGGGTGCCACGAGGCACAGACGGTGCTGCCGGCCGCCCCATGACCTTCCCTCGCCCGCCCGCCGCTCCATCCCACCCGGATAATCCGCTCCCCTCCGCGTGCTCCAGCCCCAGGCCTTTCAGGGGGCCCTGTTAATAATTAAATGTTAATCTAAAAAGCAATTTTAGCTGCAGTGCTGCAGATCTGGTTAGAGATTACATTAGCATGTAAGAGTCAAGGGTAATTTTCTCTAACCCCTCTTGTGATCTTTAAAACCCGCAGATCTTAAAGCAACACCAGCTCCTCTGATTAAAATTGGAAGCTGGGGTTTGCAATGGATAATGATGCTGGAAGTGATTATTTTGCTGCTCAGGATCTTGCTGGGGTGGTGAGGAAGTGGGGGGCTGGGGGAGTGACCCAGACCAGCCAAGTGGCTTCTCCCAGCCCATATCCTGTGGAGATGCTGGGAAGATGTCAGGTGAGCCTAGGACCTGGCACTAAGCAGAGCTGTGACACACTGAGCATCCCCATTTCCCACTTCCCCAGAATACGCCTTTACTTACAGACCTAACATTTTGCTGCCAGGGGAATGATGCTTTTTTTGGGCTGCTGTGACACCAGGATGGCACAGAGCCCACCAGCCAAGGCACACAGCCAGGGACAGAGTGGCACCAGAGCTGGACAGAGCATCCCCTCGCTGCTGGCATCTTAGGGCAGCACCTAAGTCTCTCCCATCCCACTCAGAAGTGAGGTTTCTACTCCTGTGGCTGCTCCAAGAAGAAACCCCTTAGACTGTTCAATAAAATCAACATCAAAAAATACCCCAAAATAACCTTTGGCTTATGAGCAGGGCCAGGGGGACTGGGACAGGGCACAGCAAATCACCTCCTGAGCAGTGCAAATGACCCGATGGAAGAAATATGGTATCAGATGTGCCCGTAATGATGGAATTAAAAAAAACCCCAACAATTCAAGTGCTGTTGAGCATTTGCAGACGTCCCCGCACAGGGCTCGGGCGGCCTGGTTAAATTTATGTGTCAGCTTTAAGGAGGCCTCTCATCAAATGAGCTATTTTGGGCAGAGATTAAAGATCTATTTTCGCTGTGAGCAGGAACAGCTCTCGAACAGGTTAATAATGATTCTGGAAAGCCACGCAACTCCAGCGCCCTGGGCAAGGGACTTGGAACCCTGGGCAGTGCCGGGGGGTCCCTGAGGGTGCCCGAGCCACGAGGGTGGAGGATCACAGTGCAACATCCCCCGTAACCGCTGCCATCCTGGCGGGGAGGAAGGAGCCCCGCGTGCTGCGGCGGGCGCTGAGCAGCCGTGGGTAATTGGAAGTGGCAGACGCTGGCACGGCACTGCCGAGAAGGTCATTAAGTGGGACTGGGAATGAAATGCCAGCAGCGAGGGGGGGAGTGGCCCCGTTAGCAAAGGTCAGGGCCCCACTTGGCGCCAGCGGTGTTTTTGGCAGAGCTCAGCCCTGGCTGTGTGCACCGGGGTCCTGGCAGGGCCAGCGTGCAGCGCGGGAGCAGGACCTGCCGGTACGGATGTGCCCCCTCTGTTGTGGTACCAGCTCCTAAAATAAAACCTCACTCATCCAACACAATTGTGCCATGCCTTCATCCTGCACATGGATGGGGAAGAGGGGCTGGAGAGATGAGCCCACTGAGCTGCCCACCATCCCATCATAGATGGTCAGGATACTCATGGGCTTTTAGTCCCAGCCACAGCAGGGACACGGGATCAAACCATCAGAAAAGCCAAGCTGCTCCAGGAAGACCTCCTGGGCAGCAATTAAAAGCACCCCGGACCCCACCCCAGCACGGGTATCCACACCTTGAACACCTGCAGCACCCACGTCTCCAGCTGAGATATAACTCAACACGGCAGAGACCAAAGCTCCCCATCGTAGCTCCTGCCCCATTCTGGGGGCTCAATTGCCCCCCGCAGTGACAGGTCCCTGTGCCCCCACAGCCATGGTGGCAGCACCGTGGTGCCCCGGCCGTGGCAGTCGGGCGTGCGCCGCTCCGTAATTACAGCCCCGAGTGCCTGAGCTGTGAAAGAATCTGACGAAGGAATCCAGGGTAGATCGCGCTGCTGAAATTACTATAATCAAAGGCTTTCACAAAGGCTTCAAATGCAACCAATTACTCTGAAAGGCGAGGCAAGAAAGAAAACAAATTAGCATGTTTGCACAGAGCCTCGGCGCAGCGCACACATCGCCCCGCGCCGCCCTCGACTCCGGCCGGCCGCTGCTCCCCATCCCCGGGTCCAGCTCCCCCATCCCTGCCTACCCTCCCCTCATGCCTGGGTACCAACTCCCCATCCCCATGGTAGGTCCGTATCTCCATATCCTGCTCTGTCACTGCTGCCCTGCTCGCAGCTGCACACAAAGGGGCTCTGTGCCCGTCCCTCGCCCCACGGCCGATGCTGCCCTGCCCGCACACAAAAGCCCTGCCTGTGCCACGGCCGGGTCAGGCGCAGGCTCAGGGGCTTGCCAGGGTGGCCTGGGGAAACCTCCCTCCCTTCTCCCTTGGTGCTGGTGGGGGTCCCTGGGCGAGGGGAAGTGAGGGGGGTCCTCAGATGCACCCATTGAGCACAGCCCCGCATCACCTACGGACAGTTGGGGAAAGCACTCATGGCAGGGACCCCCTACTCTCCTCTCCTTACAGCACACTTCATCTGGCTGCCAGTCTGGGGGAAGGAGGGGAAAAAAGGGGAAAAAAAATAAAAATCAACTCCTTCCTTTTAATATTTAACACGAGTCCATCACCCTCAGTCTATTTGGTAATACAAAGCTCTGGAGATTTAAACCCTTCTCACCCGGGGAGATGGAAATGAATGGTGCTCTTTAATGAGCTGGTTCAGCAGAAAAGATAGATTTCCAAGATTACTGTAGGAATTCTTATAATTGATGTGTACTTTTGTAACGAGGATTATACCACCATCCGGCCAAGTAATTCCAGCTCTTTTCCCCCCTTGTCCCAAGCTCACCCTGCTTTTGGGGTTCCCTGAGGGACAGGGACCAGACTGTGTCCCCACAGGGAAAAAGCAACATTGGAGGGGGGAGAAGGAAAAGACAAAGAAAAATTAAACAGGTTTTTCTTATTTAGCCATAGACAACCTAATGCAGCCACCAAATGGGAAAATAAGGCATGTCTCCAGATTTCTATATTTGTTTTACAAATCCCTACTTTCCCCACCGATCCGGGGCCGGATGAGCTGCTGAATGCCGAGTAATTAAAAGGAACAGAGAACAATACTCAGCGCTGCCGAAGAACACGGAGTTTCCCTCAGATGTTTGTAGCAATTGTATGAAAATGTACCAGGCGGGATGGGGAGAGCTGACAGCCGGGATTGGGAGCAGCCGGGATCCGAGCTGGCTGCCTCCCCCGCCTGATTGGCATTAATTGTGCACGTTTGCAAAGCAGAACGGAAAGTCTGACACGAGCTGCGAGCCAACATTTCTTTCTAATAGTCTTAATGATTACGACGAGAGCTGATGATCATTGCAGGGTGTTAATAGTCCGGAGAGCAGCTCTGCGGCTGCGGCTGCTGGGGACAAGCGGGGATGTCCCCCGCCCTGTCCTCATCACACGGGGAGATGCTTCCTCATGGTGGGCTGAGGGTGCGGTGGGATGGATCCGAGGGGTCACATGAAGCCAGAGCTCCCCCGGGGGAGGGGACACTCCTGTCAGGTTGTAAAACTCTGGCAAGGGGATAGAAAGGACAGGGAGGGTACAGCAACCCCTTGTCCCCTACTCTGCCTCTGCCCCTGCCCCATGGGAGAGGAGTGGCTGCAAAGGGGCAACACCAGGAGGGAGAATGTCCCTACACTGAGCCCCCTCTAAGGACTATCCCCAGGGATGCCCCACACTGACGGAATCACTGGGCCACCCCACTCCCATGGGTGCCCCAAACCAGCTGCCACAGCCCAGTCCAGCTGGGGGTGCTGCCCCGGGGAGCGACTGCAAACAGCAGAGCCCGTCATTAAAACCTGATTAATGAAACCCGAGTTTCCTTGACTCTTTACAAGGCTGTTTTTTTCAGATGTCCTTGAGTTTTGTCGCTGCAGAGGCGAGAGGGAGGTGGGTGGGCTGTGGAGCCCAACACGGGCTGCTCCGATCGTGGCCGCGGGAGAGACGGAGCCAGACGAGCACGAAACCCCTGCGCGGCCCCGGCCCGTCCAGGTTTACACGGGAGGAAAAATCAATGGCCATCGATCCGCAATACAAAGGGAGAGCGGCGCTGGCAGACGGCAGGCGGCTGCCATCTGACCGGGGCTCGGCAGAGGACACGGCTGGGTCACCTCTCTGGGGACGGGAGTGCTGCTGGGGGGCACGGCTCAGGGTCACATAGCTGGGGACCGATGTGCCCACCAGGGGACACAGCTCAGGACACAGCCAGAAGCACCGATGGCCACCCTGCCTGCACCAGGTCCCTCCAGGGCAGCAAGCAGCACTGCCAGGCCACGTGCCATAAACCCTCACAGCAGCAGACAGGACACATCCACGGTGTGTGGGTGGCCCTTGTCCGTGTCCTTGCCGGGACACGGCTCTGCCTCCCCCGGATGGATGGACAGACGGCCTCAGCCCAGCTCCAAGCTGTTTGATTTGTTTTATCATCTGCGCTGGCCAACAGATCACTCAGCTTTGGGCTTTCTGAGCTCACTAATAATTGTTCCCTGATGAAAAGAAATAAAGACTTGGTCCCTTTCTTTCTTCCCCCCCCTTTCCAAAAAAAAAAGTCCGTAAAGAAGAGCTATAAAAATGGCTTGTTATCTCACCTAGTGAGGCTCTGGCTGTATGTTATTGCTAATTGGGTATAACATCCTTGTCTTGTTCTGCTCTCTGAAGCTAAATCAAGAAAGCACCACTGCTGCGAACTAATTATATCTCTGGACTGCAGACTCCAGCTTGTCTTCCTCTTTACTGAGTTAAAAAATGGTCACTAACCTTAATCTCTCATATTCCCAAGCATTAGGGTTGCTGGAAACCCACCACTTCCACCTGCATCCTGGTCTGTGCTGGGAAAGACAGAGCACATGGTCCAGT